CATTACACACTGAACACATTACTGCACTGACTACATTACACACTGACAACCTTACTGCACTAACTACATTACACATTGACTACATTACAATACTGACTACATTACAATACTGACCACATTACTGCACTGACTACATTACACATTGACTACATCACAGCACTGACTACATCACAGCAATGATTACAGTACAACACTGACTACATTACACACTGACTACATTACAGCACTGACTACATTTCTGCACTGACTACATTACACACTGACTACATTGCAATACTAAGTATATTACTCATTGAGTACATTACAGCACTGACTACATTACACACTGACTACATTACAGCACTGACTGCATTACTGCACTGACTACATTAAACACTGACTACATTACAACAATGACTACATTACACACTGACTACATTACACACTGACTACATTACAATACTGACTACGTTATACACGGACTAAATTACCCAGTGACTACATTACGCACTGACTACATTACCGCAATGACTACATTACAACACTGACTACATTATAACACTGACTACATTGCAACACTAACTGCTTTATAGCATCGAATGTGGTGATGGCCTCTATGGTATTATCACTGGGCTTTGAATACAGAGGCCCAGATAATGTTCTTGGGACCTGGCTTCAAATCCCTTAATGGTAGATAGTGTAGTTTGAATTGAACAAAAATCTGGATTTTAAAGTCTAAGAATTGGTCTGAATCCATTGATGAATGACAGAAAATTCGTCTACTTCCCTTTTAGGGAAGGAAATCTGCCATTCATATCTGGTCTGGCCTACATGTGACTTCAGACCCACAGCAATGTGGTTGACTCTCAATTGCCCTCTGAAATGGCCTAGCAAACCATTCAGTTGTACCAATCACCACAAAGTTTCCAAGAAATGAAACCAGACAAATCACCTGGCATCAAACTCGGTACCAGAAAAGACAGCAGCAGAGACAGTCCTGTCAACCCTGCAGGGTCCTCCTTGCTAACATCTGGGGGCTAGTGCCAAAATTGGGAGAGCTGTCTCACAGACTAGCCAAGCAACAGCTTGACATAGTCATACTCATGGAATCATAACAGGCAATGTCCCAGGCAGCACCATCAGCATCCCTAGGCATGTTCTGTCCCACCGGTAGGAAGGACCCGACAGAGGTGGTGGCACAGTGGTGTACAGTCTGGAGGGAGTTACCCTCGGTGTCCTCAACATTGACTCATCAATGAAGTCTCAAGACTTCAGGTTAAACATGAAGAAGGAAACCTCCTGCTGATTAGCACATACCATCCTCCCTCAGTTGTTGAATCCGTACTCCTCCATGCTCATTAATCTGCCAGCTGCCATCTATGGGATTGGTCTTCGCCCAATACACCAATACCCCTATTGTAGAATGAATAAACACTCGATTGAATTAAATGCACAAAGAACTGATAAATTATATAATCAATGCGGAGGAACTGTTGGGGCTTATAAACAAACTGTCACCTCAGCTGCTTGAGTCTTGTAATCGTAATTGTTTTCTGAGAATATAACATTTTAGTTATTCATTTCCATATTGTTCACATGCAACACAGCTATGCATAATCTCAGTATATTAGTCCATACAGAGATAGTTGTGCCATGTCTTCATTAAGGGCGGGGGGAGTGGGGCAGAGGTGGGGACAGGCCGCATTAATTTGGTGGTTGATTCCACTTGAGGGAGAGATAGAGTGAGACAGGCAAGTCATGATGTTTGATCCTCATGTCATACAGTGGAATCAGAACAATTAATTATCATAATACTGGGCAGTGCTGATTCAGGAGTAAGAAAGACACATTTGTTTTTATTTTTCATGGCATGCAGGTGTGACTTCAGAAGGTGATTGTAAGCAGCCCCCAAGAACTATTGGGTATATGAGGTAAGAGCAAGTTTTATGTTCACTTGTGGGATGTGGTCAATTGTTGGTTTGCCCAGCACTTATTTCCTGATGGTGAGAGGCTTGGAGGGGAGCAGAAGGTGCTGGTGTTCCCATGTTTCTGCTGCCCTTGTCCTTCTAGACGGAAGTGGCTATGGGTTTGGAAGGTGCTGTCTAAGGAAGCTTAGTGAATTTCTGCTGTGCATCTTGTAGGTCGTACACACTGCTGCTACTGAGCGTCAGTGACGGAGACAGTGGATGTTTGTGGATGTGGCGTCAATCAAATGGGCTGCTTTGTCCTGGATGGTGTTAATCTTCTTCAGTGTTGTTGGAGCTGCACTCATCCAGGCTACACTCCCTCTAAATGACTGTGTTGCCAAATTTCGAACGAACGTCACCTGCAAGTTCACTGATGGCACCCCCGCAGTGGGACGGATACCTAACAATGACGAGTCAAAATACAGAAGGGAGACAGAGGGCTTGGTGACATGGTGCAATGAGAACAACCTCTCTCTCAACATCGAGAAGACTAAAGAACTGATCATTGACTTCAGAAAGAAAGGAGGAGAACACACCTCCACCTACATCAACAGAACTGAGGTTGAGAGGGTGGAGAGCATCAAGTTCATTGGAGTGACGATGACCGACGACCTGTCCTGGTCTTCCCACGTAGATGCTACAGTCAAGAAGGCACAACAACGCCTCTTCTTCCTCAGGCGGATCAGGAAATTTGACATGTCCATAAGGTCCCTCACCAACTTCTACAGATGCACCATTGAAAGCATACTGTCCGGGTGCATAATGGCCTGGTATGGCAACTGCCCTGCCCAGGACCGTAAGAAACTACAGAAGGTGGTGTGCACAGCCCAGACCATCACGGAAGCCAATCTTCCATCCATGGGCTCCATTTACACGGCTTGCTGTCGCAGAAAGGCTGCCAACATCATCAAAGACCCATTGCACCTCAGTAATGATCTCCTACAACCTCTTCCCTCAGGCAGAAGATACAGAAACCTGAACACACACACCCAGCCGGTTTAGGAACAGCTTCTTTCCAGCTTTTATTTGACTTTGAATCTCTAGCCTGAAATAAGGCCAATCTTGCTATCATTGATCTCACCCAGCGCATGCCCTGTGCAATGTAACCTGTATGCCTCTGTCTACGTGTTTTTGATCTGTACATCCTTTGCTTGCTGTGATCTGCCTGTACTGCTTGTACACATAACTTTTCACTGTACTTCAGTACACGTGACAATAAATCAGTCAGTGAAGTGGGGAGTATTCCATCACACTCCTGATTTGTGCCTTGTAGATGGTAGACAGGGATTGGGGAGTGAAGAAGTGAGTTACTCGTTACTGTATTCATAGCCCATGACCTGCCCTTGTATTTATTTTATATATGTGGCAGGCCCAGTTCGGTTTCTGATCAGTGCGGGCATTCACTGATTGTAACCCCGTTGAATGTCAAGGGGAAATTGGGGGATCATATCTCATTAGAGATGGTCATTGCCTGGAATTTATGTGGTGCAGTTACTTGTTATTTTTCAGCACAAGCCTGGATATTGTCTGGATCTTGTTGCATTTGAACATGGGGACTGCTTCAGTATCTGAGGATTTGCGAATGATGAACATTGTGCAAATATCCGCATACATCTCCACTCCTGACCAAATGATGGAGGGAAGGTCATTGATGAAGCAGCTGAAGATGGTTGGGTCTAGGACAGAGATGTCCTGGAGCTGAGATGACTGACCTCCAACCACTAGAACTATCTTCCTACATGCCAGGTATGACTCCAACCAGCAGCGAGTCTGTCCTCAGATTCCCATTGATTCCAGGTTTTGCTAGGGCTCCTTGATGCCACACTCAATCAAATGCTGGCTTGATGTCAAGGGCTGTGCCTCTCACCTCTTGTGACCACCTTACAGCATAGCGAAAGGTGATATATAAGAGTCCAAGAGCACAGATACTTGCTACTATGTTATCATTATGATTAGCTATCATGGAAAACTTTGAACAAAATTTTATGTATTTGTTTTCAGCTGGTTCACATGAACAGGAATATTGAATTTCACACTTCTGAGCCAGAGAATCTTGTTGATTTATACACTACAGCCAGCTTTGGATTAAGCAAATGTATTTTAGGAATTTCTGGCCATTGTGATTGGTAGAATTCAACTCAAGGATATTGTTGAACATAACGCACAATTTATTGGACTAAAATCAAAGCATATGGAGACCATTTTGTAAAGGATACATATATATATATATCCAATTTTCAATGTCTTAAGGCAAAAACATAATGGGCCACTGTTTTCAAAATAGCCTCCATCTGCACAAATCCCTGCAGCTTTCTTCTGTAATTGGAATCTAGGATTGTTTTTGATTGTGATGGCCCACGATATTGTTACATGTGGCAAAAAAGTGGAATTTATATGGAGTTAATCATGTTTGAACTGCCATCAAATT